GGTTTACCCATGTTGTCCAGGCTGGTCTTGAGCTCCTGACCTCAGGTGATCCACCTGCTTCGGCCTCCCAAAGTGTTGGGATTACAGGCGTGAGCCTCTGTGCCTGGCCAGACCACTGTTTCTAAGTCCCTCCGAGAGAGGTTGTGAAGTATCTACTGCTCTATGCCTAGACTGCTCTAAAAGCACAGTTCAGCTTGTGGCTATAAGTTCTTAGGGGAGGGGGAACATTTTCCTTTTATTTCACTTCGCCTCAGATCCAAGGTCAAGATCAGCACACACCTTCTTCTTTCTTTGGGATATGTTTCCCTAGGTCACCTGTTGTAGTAGTTTTCTGTGGCTGCCGTAACAAATTACCACAGAGTTAGTGGCTTACAATAAAACAGATTTCACATCTTACATTTCAGGAGATCAGCCATCCAAAATAGATTTCACTGGACTGAAATCAAGGAGTTGGTGGGCTGTGTTCCCCTGGAGGGTCCTGGCTCCTGGTCTAGCCCCAGGGTGACTCACTCTGCTGGCCCAGAGGATTCGAATCATTTCTCACCTTATCACCTTGCTCTTCCTTCCTACCAGCTCAGCCATTCACGCACCTGCTTTTAGATTGCCCCAACATCTTGCGGGTTCTGGGCCGTGTTGCTCCCAAAGCCTCCACTGCTTTCTCAGGTAGCACTTGCTCCCACCGCCCTCCGCTGCCCTTCCCCTCTGCTGCCTCTCCATGGTGGAGAGTCACAGCTTTAGAGAACCCACCAGCTACAGTGTGGAGAGGTGTTGCCAGTGTCCCAAGTTGAGGAGAGGTGCAGGTCACCTCTGTTCCTTTAGGTGGCCCGTTGGTCTTCGTGGGGCTCTTCTAGTCCCTAGCCTGGGCCTTTGTGGCCGAAATTCCATGGTCAGAGAACCACAACACTCACATGTGCCAGTCTGCCACGACCCTCCCTGTCACCCTTAGGATGCCACCCACTGGGGCGGCCATTGGGAGGCTCTAGGTAGGGCTTGGGACTGACTTGACTGGTGTCTCAGGGATCAGCTGTGAGTGCTGGGTCTTTGCTCGTCTGCTTTGTTCACGGCACTGGACACCTATGTCGTCACTGCAGTGCTGTGACTGTTGCATTTATCATTTCTTCCCCCTCTGGAAAACATGCTCTGAGCAGGCAGGGCTCACTGCTGTAATCTAATCCCCAGGACAGTGTGTGGCACAGATTAGGAGTTCAAATGGAGGAGCATGAACGAGTGACTCAAATCTTCGGCCAGCGGGCAGCACAAGCACCAGATGGGAAATGATAACATGGGGGGAGTGGGGTCGTACTCGAGTCCCTGGCCAGCCTGGCACACACCCCTTTCTACCATGGGCAGTCCAGAGAGACCAAGAGGGCGTCCTTCCCCACCTTCCCCTAAACCCTCCAAGGCGCTCAGGAGGTAGCTTCCCTCTGCGCAGTATCTTAAATAAACTGTTTATTCAGAAGGAACAATTAAAGAAAGCAACTATGAGGTGGATTACAAAACTGAAGAAGCACAGCTCCTCTCCAGGCTCCAGGGTGACATGGTCCCGCGCCGCCAAGACTGCCAGCCCTGGGTTGGGCGCATCCGTGGACTAGTGTGCGCGTGAGTGCCGATGTGCGCCCACGCATACCCGCCACCCGCAGGGGTGTGGACATCAGTGAATGGCTTAGGCCCTTCCCCGCCCCACAAAGCAGCAGCAAAAGTGAGGCTTTCTTCTTCCCTTCCCCCTTCCCAGCTCCCGCTCTGAGACCCCGTCTCCTCCCGCGGCAGTTCGACCACCCTCACTCACAAAGAGCACCAGTGATCCTGTCAAGACATCTGGGGGAAGAGGGAAAAAAACAGCACACCAGATGTGTGGCTGGGAACTGCCCAGTGGCTCCCAGGCCATGGATACCCTGAGAGGCCCCAGCCCTGAGAGCCTCAAGCCCTTGGTGGAGAAGCAAGGTGGTGACAACACCAGTGATGGCAAACTCCTCCCCTCCAAGTGGCCATTTGAGGACAGGGAAGGGACTGGGAGGCAGTCCCTGTGGCAACGAGGTGGCACGCCCCCTTCCAAGAGAGGGAAGCACAGGGGGGCACAAGGCCCAGCTGAGCTGGCTGAGCACCCAGGGCCAGGGCCAGCGCCTGGACAGTCACCTGGAGAGGAACCCCCACTCCCATCCCGCAAAGAAAAGAGTAACAGTCGCAGAAGAGGCAGGCTCAAAGCGTGGTCCTGCCGTAGGCACGTTGATTAGGACGCCAGCCCGCGTGAGGTATTGCGCTCTCCCCCCAGCCCCCTGCTCAGGCCGAGCCCTCCCACCCACCCCTCCCTTGCCCCACGGGTGAGTAGGGACACCCATGGGTGGAGGTGGGGCAGGGGCCAGCCTGCCTGCTACGGTGCCCTAGGTGGGGGCCAGCTCGAAGGCGCCATCGCTGGTGGGGGTGGTGAAGAAGGAGGGCGGGTCGGAGGCCGCAGATGCCTGCTCCCCGGTGGCACGCTCCTGCGAGCGGCGCTCCTCCAGCCGCAGGCTGCGCTCGAAGTCCAACAACTGCCCCATGAAGTTGAAGTTGGGGGAGATGTTAGACTTCTTCCTCTTGACCAGGTCATAGGCATCGTTGAGAGAGAGGTGGAGCTTCTGCATGAGGTAGGCCACAGTGACGGTGACAGAGCGGCTGACCCCCGCTAGGCAGTGGACGAGCACCCCGCAGTTCTGAGACAAGGCTTCATCTAGGTGGAGCAGGACGGGGCCAGGGAGACCCCGAGGGCAGGTGTATGTGAGGACGAAGCCTTCTGAAGGGCCCTCAAAGCCCCCGCCCTGCCCTTGAGTTAGATGGCCACGGCCTGGAGGTTTCACTGGTGGCCTCTGGGGGCCGCCCTGAGTTCTACCTGTTCCCTGGAAGTGCCACCCCTGCTTTGGGCTCTGGGAATGGCAGCTGCACTTGGGAGGAATGCTCACGAGGGGGAG